TGTAAATCATGCCACTCCCCACAAACCACACTCCGTTCCCTTCAAACCACACCCCTTTCCCACCAAACCACACCCCTTCTATGTAAATCATGCCAGTCCACACAAACCACACTCCGTTCCCTTCAAACCACACCCCTTTCCTCCAAACCGCGCCCATTTCTTGTTAAACCACACCCCTTTCCCTTAACCACGCCCCCTTAGCCCAAATCCACACCCTGTCCAAAGCCACGCCCCCTCCCTAGGGCTGTGTGTCATGCATATTAACGAGCCCCTCATGCATATGAACAAGCCCCTGATGCACAGGGGTCACTCACTGTAGCCCATGCCCTGCAGGAAGTACTTGATGGCCTCGGTCAGCCGGGCGGGCTGGGGGGAGGGGCAGGGTCAGTGCTGACCATCGCCAACCCCCGGGTGACCGTGCCCATCCCCCACCCTGCTGAGCTCACCTGGGCGATCTGGGGCTGCCCACCGCCATCAGCCATCTGCAAGAGACGTCATGGGGTGCTCATCGAGTGGTCACTCAGTGSTCACTCAGTGCTCACTCAGTGCTCACCAAGGGGTCAAAAGTCACCTTCAGGAAGGATGTTTGCGTCGGGTCCAGTTTGGCGTTGCACTCCACCTTGGGGGAGGGGCCCGGGAGGGGTCAGGGCATCAGGGTGGGGTCAGGTGACCCCACTCCAACTGACCACGCCCCCCCCACGGCGACCCTCCCCCACTCACCACGGCGTCCTCATGGGGGGCGTTGTCACCGACCACCAGCAGGACCGGGCAGCTGGGAGAGGGGTCAAGGAGTCACTCAGGGGTCAGTGGTCAGTGAACGGTCACTGGGGGAGTCAGTGAAGGGTCACTGGGGGGTCGGTGGTCACTCAGCGGTCACTCACCTCAGGCTCCCAGCCCCGCTCCGCTCCAGGCCCAGATCACCACGGCTGGGGAGGATGGGGGGAGGAGCGATGCTTTAGCCCTGCCCACAATGGCCACACCCCTTTGTGACCCCTCCCCCAGACATTRTCACCCCTCCAACATCTCCCTCCCCCTTCAGCCACACCCCTTTTGCCTCCCTAGGCACCGCCCCTCGGATGTAACCACACCTCCTTCAAAAAGCCACGCCCCTTCCAGCCAGCCAGACCCATGAGGGCACATGGCCTACTCCAGTAAGGGTAGGAGACCCCACCCCAGGTTTGGGTTCTATTTGGCCACGCCCCTGTAAGCCAAACCCCCCCGAGGCCACGCCCAATGCCACGCCCTCACCTGGTGTACATCGCCCACAGCAGGGCGGGGTTGGGTGTGGCCGCCAGGTGCTCCCGGAGCCGCCGGACCGGGGGGGGGGCAGTGGCCAGCTCGTCCTGGGGAGCCCCAGTGACCACCCAGT